GTTTTCACGAACATAAATATCCCTCAGCCCACAGTATTAGCATTTCCAGCTGCTACCTATTAGTTGAAAGTATATTACACAGAAAGAGAGTTGTCCCAAGGAAGCTACTATAGGTAGCCCTTTTCTTAAAATACTAACTTAATAAGTCAAAATACAAAATATATACATAATACACATGCTTGCATTGACAAATGTACACATGTGTGCACACACACACACACACCCAACACATCCCAGAGACATTAAAAAATGAGTTCTATTTTTGATTTGGCAGTGCTTGTACTCTGAATGAGGCGTCCACCTCAGGGAGCAGTTGTTTTGTCCATGTTGCTTTGTGTTGTAGTTACCTCCATAGAAATTCGTACTTTAGAGCCTGTGATATCAAGAAAATCAACTTCTGAGCATGCTAGGATTACTAACTGAATATAAAAATCAGACTTGATTTTCCCCATTTTCCTGTCTGTTCCTTATTCTACCAACACACACATTTTCCTGTCTGTTCCTTATTCTACCACCACACACATACACTCACACACTCACACACACACACAAATTCACTCATACTTTTTAACTCAAGCAGTCTCTTTGCATAAAATAAATGGAGCCTCATGAGGCCAATAATCTGAGAATAGCAAATCAGAAAGGTGAGATTATGTGGAGAATCTTTGGGTTCTTTCCTTCTATTTTCCATAATTTGTCTTGTGATATAATGGCAGGTAGAAACAAGAGGGAGAAGGGGCCAGGAGAGTAGATGTGCAAACAAATAAGTGTTTCTGTTTAAGGCATGATTTTAAAGTATTGTTTGGAACCAAATGCTTTTGCTGATCACATAATTTTATGTACCATATTTGTTGTCTTGGGCTCTAAATATGTAAAAGGACTGGTAGTTTCTGGCACTAGACTAAAGTTGACTTAAATCAGTGATTCCAACCTTTAAATTTATGACATCATGTATTTAATTTTTTAACATGAATGCTTTCTTTACAATTTTAAAATATTTATGCTTTTACTTATATTGCACAATATTCCTTAACTTGTATCTTAAAGAGATGTTTTTTAAAATAAATTTAGCATCTTCTCCTTCAGCCATATCTATATCTATAGTAGAACATAGTATTATTTCTTTTATTTGGAAATATAAAAATCGTATATATTTTTTAGTCTCCATTAACAGATATTGAGGAAGTATTTTATACTGTCATTTGCTGGGCTTCATAATATCTAAGTATAGCTGTTTTACTTTCAGTACTTTAGGGATTGAGTGATTTTAGTCTGGAAACTTTATACTACCTCTCTAGCAGAAATACTATTGTTATTTGTGGTGACCTACTATCAGTGCAACCAGCTTAATAATAGCTAGTACACATAGAATTTAATGTGTCAGGCACTGTAAAGGTATAAAATATATACAACTTTAATATTCCAAATAAAATTATAAATAATATTGTTCTACTATAAATGTGGCTGAGGCATATTTCACACTGATTTTTTAAAAAACATATAAAAACAGTCCCTGTTAAGAATCTTTTTAAAAGCATTGTGGCACATGTATGTTCTAAGCATCTAAGTCACGTGCTAACTCATTTAATATTCATAATCATTCTATGGTATAAGTACTTTTATTATATCTATTTTATAAACAAGCATATTGAGGCCCAGAATTATATAATTTAATCTTTCGTATCCTCTTTATACCCTGTGTCTGTTTTTCTTTTCTGTATTTTACAAGGTGTCAAATACAGTCAGTGTAGTGGCCAAGCCAGGATTCTGGCTCAATTCTATGTACGTCACATAAAAGCTGTACTGTCACCTGACAATTATTTCATGAGTTACCGTTCTTTGTCATAGAGTTCACTAAAAGAACCTTTTTAATAATAAAAATTAAAAAAACTTTTACTTTGATAACTTTTACTTCCTATTTTAGCAAAATTTGATAATTGTTTCTTTTGTATACATTTGTCCAAAGACCTGTAATTTATAGCTAACTAATCAGAACGAAGTAGCACACTGAACAGTCCTTTAGGGTATCCACAGTGACTTTGCAATACCTGTCAAAGGTGATTCTCTTTCACAGTTATAGATAGTTTTCCTATAACATTGTTGAATACATACAGTAATGATGAATGTATCCACATTTGATTACTTCCCTTATCTTCCTTCTCCCAAAGTGTCATAGAAGATTTTAAATATTGCCAATAATTACACTAATAAACAGTTGGAAAATACTTATAATTCTTTTACTTGTCAAAGTAAGGGAGTTTAATGTGGTTTTATAAATTGAGTTTGCTACAAGTCTTCAGAATTTTAAGATTTAAGTCTTAAGTTTTCTATATGTATTCATAGATTATCCCTTGCAATTCAGTTTTATTACAGGAGGTACCAGGAAACTGCATCTAAACTCTAGAAGTAATTAGTGTGTACTCCTGTAAGGTCTATTAGGAATCAATTTCTATTTTTGGACATATCTTGTCGATTGAACATTTTCTTCATAAATTATGGTTATCAGCATTTAAAATTTTACATTTAAACTTTATTTTTTTGATAAAGAGTGCTGTGAAAGGTTACATATTTAATTGAAAACTTTTTGGTCATAGTAACTAATGTACATTAAATGTATATCAGTACACAAGCATACCCTAGGCATATAGTATATAAAGAATGGATGTCAGAGTTTGATTACAACAGGTATTTTTACAAAGATTACCCCTGGATTTGTTAGAGTTGTAAAACATGATTCAGAAAGGCATACCTTACCTTACATTGTAAAATATAGCAAAGGAAAAAAAAAAAAGTGGTATAAAGATGATATTCTTTAGAAGCAAATAATTCCAAATATAAATGTGCTTACATAGAAAATGTTTGTTGTCATAAGATCATTTACATTATCCCAGCATCTAGGGCTTTAACCAACTTTTATGTTCAGCTGATTCTAAATGAATTTATTCCTGACATCATCCTTTTCTGTATTGTAGGCATAGCTGTGAGCCAACATCACTGTCAGCACCAGGATGTAATTTAGAACTGTGACATATTAAATTTATCCTGTGAAAAGCTTTATAGGATTGTGTTCACTGTCAACAATATTCTTATCTCTAAGACTATTAGGCATTATTTCTGTAATTTCTATTCTACTTTCTTCATTTTTGACATTGTTTATTATAAGGCAGTACCTCTCTCACAGTTGTAAGCTAAATTCAGATTCTTAGGAGACATGTTCTAATTTCCTTCCCATTTAAAAGTTATTTATTGAAAACTACTATTTTCATGGCTCTTTGCCTCTAAAAGCAGTTGTTCATAATTGAGGCAGATCTTCCCTTGTAGGAATTCATAGCTGTGAAGAGACAGTTCTCTTTCCCAGTAGATTAATAAATAGGCTTTTTTGAGAATTACCTCCTGGAATATTTCTTTTGATTAAAGGGTCAAAGACTCAGGCTTTGTCTTGGTGCTAATAGAACCAAACCACCTGCAGCTGAGTACTGAACGCTTTGGAAAGCTGAACTTAATGTCTTCTTTTTTGTAATGAGTAGTTGAAAGTAATATTTTTTCTTAAAAAAGTAAAATTCAGGCATGACCTTTGGTTCAAATTAAGGTTTTAACGTGAAAGATTCTCACCGAAGCACGCAGTCAAAATAAAACTGATAAACAGCATTCCATAAACAGTACAACTTAATGCAGCCTGTTAATAGTATACAAATATTTAACTGTCCAGTGTTAAGCCTTTTGCTATGTTCACTAATTTCTATCTCCTTTATTGTTCCACTTTGCTTGTTAATTACCCTATTCATAAAAATCCAAGGATTTGGAGAAAATCCCTGCTATAGGAAATCACTGCTCTCACTCCAACCCAGGCCACTATCACTTTCTTAAGTGTCCTTATTTCCACTCTAGTCTAGCTAACTATTGTGTGTGCTGTGAGGTTAACAGCACACGTAATGGATCTGACCTACCTGGGTTTAAAATCTGCTCTGCTGTATAGCTGCATGGCCGTGAGTGAGCTATATTTAATCTTAGTTACCTTGGTTTCTCTCTGTAAAATGAGGATATTACCATACCTCATATGAGGATTAGTTAACATAAAATTCCTTAGACAAGTGCTATTAAATGCTAAATAATTAATGCAGCACTCAGGGTTTACTCTTATAAATAATTCAGATACTACTCCCTTGGTCAACCTCCTTTAAATAGCTTTACTTAGAAAATAAAATCTGCACTAAGGCCTATAAAACCTACCTCTGATGTCTACTACCGTTTTCTGTTTACTCCATTCCAGCTACAGTAGCCTGTTCCCTAGAGATACTCAGTTGTTCTACTTCAAGGCCGTTGTACTTTCAATTCCCTCTTCCTGGAACTTTCCCCACAGAATTTTATGTCACTCACTCACTTGGGTAGCTGCTCAAATATTCAGAGGCCTTCTCCATCTAAAATAGCACATCAACAAACATATCCTCATTCTCTAGTGCCTTGCCCCATTTTATTTTTCTTTGTAGCACTTATCAGTACTGAAATAATGTTCAATGTCTTTCCTAACAGGAATGTAAACTGGCATTTGTAGTGTTTAGTAAATATTTGCTGGAAGACTGGATAGATGCTGGGTCAAAAAACAACTTTTTTCCCCCGAATGCTATTGACTTTTATTTATTTATTTATTTTTTTTTAAGGTATGTACCTAACATTTTCTCCCATATTTTTACTTAATCCAGGTTTTTTTCATTAGGCCACTATTCACTTTAGAAAGATACACTTTGGACTTTTCGAAGACTAGATTCCAATTTGCAAAGTAAAGGATAAACAAGCACAAAAATGTTGACATTGTTTTCAAAGGGAAGTATTACGTAACATGTATACATTGAATTCTGTACTTAACCATATATTTCTAACATTGTTAATATAACATATCTACCTATAAAGATCTATGGAGATTTCAGATCAGATTATAAATTAGTACTTTATGACTAAAGCATACATATTTAGTTACAATTAAGTTCTTTTCTCTTTTGCAGGTTGATGACTAGAGGGAGTGAAATCAGATTTGTTCACAAGGAGATGGGTATAGTACCAAGCTGGGGTGGTGCTACCCGGCTGGTTGAAATTATCGGCAGTAGACAAGCTCTCAAAGTGTTAACTGGGGCCCTCAAACTGGATTCAGAAAAAGCTTTAAACCTAGGAATCGTCGAAGAGGTCTTGCAGTCTTCAGATGAAACTAAATGTCTAGAAGAGGCAAAAGAGTGGCTAAAGCAGTTTATCAATGGGCCACCGGAAGTAATCAGAGCTTTGAAAAAATCTGTTACTGCAGGCAAAGAGCTTTGTTTAGAAGAGGCAGTACACACTGAAAGAGATGTTTTAGGAACACTTTGGGGTGGACCCGCAAATGTAGAAGCTATTGCTAGGAGGGGAAAATATTGTAAATAGATTTTTCTTAATCTGTACTAATGATGTACTACAACTCCAATGATTAACACGTAAATGATATGAAATATGATATGAAATATGAATCAGAATTAAAGGGTATTACTATTTGTTTTTAATCTTTCTGAATACCTACACTCATTGGTATAGTTTTCAGTATGCAGTAGTCCCCACTTAACTGCAGGGGATACGTTCCATGACTCCCAGTGGATGCCGGAAACCGCAGATAGTACCGAATCCAATGTAAGCTGTTTTTCCCCCTACTTACAAACCTATGATAAAGACATACCTATGAGAAACTTTCATTTATAAATTAAGCACACTGATTAATAAAACGAGTATAACAATATACTGTAATAAACGTTATATGAATGTGGTCTCAAAGTTATTTTATTGTACTGTACTCACCTTTGCACTTACAGGAAACACTTTATGGCTCCTCTTTGGCATATTGCCAGCATCACTACTCTTGTGCTTTGGGGCCATTATTAAGTAAAATAAGGGTTAAACACAAGCACTGTGATACTGTGAAAGGCTGATAAACTGAGATGACTACCAAGTGACTTAACTGGTAGACTGTGTCTACAGTACATATTACAGCTGGACAAAGGGATTCAAGTTCCTGACAGGAAGGAGCAGGACGTGAGATTTCATTGCACTCCTAAGAATGGCATGCAATTTAAAACTTATGGTTTATTTCTGGAATTTTCCATTTAATATTTTCAGACTACAGTTAACTGGCTAACTAAACCCTCTGAATGTGAAACCACAGGTAGAGGGGACACTATTATATCTGGGGATTTACCAAGTAAATCTGGAACATCTGGCTAAAACACACTTTTGGCTTATAAATTATTACCAGTTCTCTAAGCAGCTGGAATAAAGAAATCATGGGGAAATGGCCCTTTTAAAAAATGTAGATGCTCCTAGCTCACCTCCTCACAAATTTGGAGCTTCATTTATTTGATCTTTGTAATAATTAGTTTTCTATTTTAACTGATCTACGAAACAGTGATAGCCACCATGTGGAAAGTTTACAGACGTTACAAAATTAGCCATTCATTTGTGTGCCCTGGAATTTCCAAACTAGTAGGAAGAACTGTTTATGTAGTAAATTAACTTTATATCAAAACTGCCTAAGACTTCAAAGTGACTTATGAAGTATTTTGTAACACATATTTGTATTTTGTAGCAGGTTCCTATTTGTTTCCTGAAAAGTAGCTAGCCTTTTACAGCTAACCATTTTTTTAAAATAGATTTAATAAAAATGTACAACTCAAACTTTTATGATTATACACTTTAAAAAAACAAGTCAAAGAATTAAGTCTCAATTCTAACCTATTGAGAGGTAGATAATTTCAAAGTAGTGATTTTAAAATTATTTGTAAACTTCATTTGAATATCATTAAAAATAACTTACATATGCTTCATCACTATGATCCTTCCTACTGTTTTGAGTTGGGAACATATAGTAAGACAAACTTGCATTACTTTTTTTTAGCACCAAATTCTAGATTACCAGGTTAACCCAACACTTCCTACTTTGCCAGATTCTACAGCATTTTGTGTAAAGTGAATTTGTGTCTAATACTGTTTATAAATAAGTCTACGATTTAATTCAATTAGATTAATATAGGCCACTAACGAAGGCTGGCAAGGAAAACCTAAAATATATATGGTCTCTACCATCAGTTATTTAAGAAACTGGTCTCATAGGCTTTAATTTAGGTTTATTTCTGTACATATATGTGCTATGCACATTGCCTATACTATATTCTCTAAAGAAATCAAACTTCTCTGAGCAGGTATCTTATTTAGGCTGAATACCACCAACTGAAACCACATTTTCAGTGACCTCTGGGCACCAATAAAATGTTTCCACCCCCTTTCCAGACTCAAACGAGACATTATTTTTGATAAACTCTAATGTTTATTAAATTATAAATTTTGTAATCAAAAAGAAAAGTGTGGATCAAGAGAAACCTCAAACTACAAGGAATAAACAGCAAAGTCTATGGAACCATGAAGTGTGTTATTGACAAGATTCTGAAACTTATGTTATTAGGTGTTTTCTTTACATTTCCATTTCAGTAACTTTACTATTAAATATTTTTTCTCTATTTTAAAATCCCAAATTCACATCTATTCTCACATTAATTAAGCTTCCTGTTAAAACTGATACCAGACATCTCATAGGTGCCAAATTTTAGTAATGGTTTTATATCAATCCATGCAGAAAAATAAGACAAAATCCAAGAGTAAGATGGGATCATTAATGCACAGATCATACACACACGCTGGCCAAAAGAATTGAAATTTAAAAAACTATAATATAAACAGACCTCAAAAAAACTGGGTTATTACTAAACAGCTCTCAACTATTAACACCCAAGTTCCTTATATTAAATAAATTTCTCAACAGAGACATGTTAGACATTTTAATTACAGGTCTATCCTTCCTATACCCCTTCCCACCCTAACTCCCAAAATGTACTACAAGGGATGAGTATGTTATGTGGGCAGAAATTTACAGATAACCTTTTTAACCTTGAGCATGGAGCTAAGACTTTTATTTAAACTTCGGTTACTGTGCACTGTCCATCAGGCCTTCTAGATCTGACACTGGCACTCACTGTTCCACCCCCTGCTACTGATCGATCAGGTCCTGATCGATCTGATCGATCAGATACTGTCTGGTTTGCATTAGGAACCAAAAGTCTCTGAGTCAAGGAGTGCTGTGCAAGAAGCGCTGATACGTCTTCACTATCACTACTGGCATCAGATTCGGTTTCTTCAATGGAGGTGTTTGGCGCTGGTACCCTGCTTGAAGATGGTAATTCATGATCTTCTTCTCCTTCCCCCCTATGACTCCTTTCAGCCAGGCTGTCTCCAGTGAGTTGTAAATGAGCAAGAGAGTCTTCCAAAGAAGTGCTTGTATCAGGGGATGGTGTTGCAGGGCTTGTTAACTGACCATCTACTGATGTCAGGGGCCTTACAGAAGAAGACACTAGAGGCTGAACAGAAGCTCCACTCTGTGCTGACACACTGTCCGCTCCGTCAGCAGAGCTCTCTCTTGCTAGGTTTACGGTATTAGCATCACAGTCCAGCCTAAGTCCGGCTACTCCCTTCTTTGGTATATCTATTATATCCCGCTTAATCTTCCTGCGACGTCCATGTTCATTTCGCCTATACTGAACCATATTTTCGAGATCAGCAACATATAGAAACCCGGCAATTAACATTTCAGTGCTCTTTTTACCTTTGGAAAAAGCATCTTCCAGCTCTCTACTTGTGCGTTCATCGTACTGCCACCACCCATTTCTTCCTTCATAATACCATGCATGTTCACCATTTCCTCTACTCGCTGCCTTGAGTTCTTCTGGTGACAATAAGGTTGGCTTATCAAGGAAATCCTCTGGAATTTCTTGTCGACAGAGGGCACATCGCTTTCCAAGCCATGAAGCTCCCTTTACACACAGATAGCAAAAAACATGCTTACAGGGCAGACTGACTGGGTGAACACATGTTTGCAGACAAATGGCACATTCGGGGACAGTTAAAGACTGTGCAGTATTAGAACAGGACTCATTCGCTTTCCTGTTCGTAGGAAGCATGTTTATTGAGTGATCAATTTCACCACAGCCAGCCATCCTAAGACAATGAAAGAAAATACATAACATATTAAAATCATGTTTTAACTCATAATATCTTAATTCAACAATTCAGAAAACATTTATTAAGCACCTATTATATGTAAGCCACATACTAGACAATGGGGATACAAGAATGAAAAGAAAAAAACTAACTTGTATAGAAAAATCTTTTTGGTTTGTATGTCATTAATTTTTACTTGTGGGAGGTAAGGAGGCACACAAATGTTAAGCCAAAAATAAAATACAACTAAGGTATAGATTTTAAATACCATTTCTATTTAGTCACAGACCTTGTGACACAATTAAATGCAAAGATATAAAAACGTATAGGCTTCTAGATTGACTTTGACAATCAGTTGGAAAGTAAAGAAACAGAAAATGGCTAAAAGTAATTTGGATTACAATTACAGAAAGTAACAATTCTGTAGCTTTTTAGGATATTACTAACTGGTAATTTTACAAATATTATTACATATAAATAAACTTAGTACATGACAAGTAGACCACAAGAAATTAAGACTAAAGCTGAAAATCCAGAAGTTCCCTATCCCTGCTGCATATCTGAAAACACTGGTTTAAAACAGTCATTTCATTCCATGAAACACTCTTCTAATGGTCTCTTTTTGTTGTTGTGGCCTTTTTTCTAAACCATATGCTCTTCTTGCTGTATTCTTTGAAGATGATTTCATCTATACTCATGGCTTCAATTGTTACTTGTATACAAAAAGTTTACAAATTGATATCAACGGCCCAGGTCTCTCCTTTCAGCTCTAGATCTGTATTTCTAATTGCCTATTTTATTTTATTTACTAATTTTATTGGGGGTGACATTGGTTAATAAAATTATATAGGCCTCAAGTGTACAACTCTATAATAAATCTGTATATTGTATTTTGTGTTCAACACCCAAAGTTAAATTTCTGTCACCATATATTTGACCCCTTTATCCTAACCTACCTCCCCCACTCCCCACTTTCCCTCTGGTAACCACTAAACTGTTGTCCATGTCCATGAGTCTCTGTTTATCTTGTTTGTTACTCTCAGATTGATATACCACATGTAAGTGAAATCATACAGTTCTTAACTTTTTCTGACTTATTTCACTTAGCATGATAATCTTAAGATCCATCCATGTTGTTCAAATGACAGTATTTCATCTTTTCTTATGGCTGAGTAATATTCTATTGTTTATATGTACAACTTCTTTATTTAATCATCTATGGAAGGACACTTGAGTTGTTTTCAGTTGTCTGCATATTTTAGATCTCTTCTTGGATGTCCTGAAGGCACAAAAACAGAACTCGTGATGTTTCCTCCTTACTTACTTCCTAAAAAGCCCTCCCTTCCCATGATACCACTGTCAATCAGCCTTTTCAAATTAGAAATCCATCACTGAAACTGCCCTTCTCTTATCTTTCCCCCATTCAAAATATCAGAGTCTTATCAATTTTATCTCCTAAATATCTCCTGAATCATCTACTATTCATCTCTACCCTTCCCTAGCCACCATGTAAACATTGTTTATTTAATCACTGTGCATGCCTTTTAATTGGTCCAATTCTACCTTTGCTTAAAAAGTTGATTTTGGGACAAAGACCAGGATCTTTATGCCCTGCATGGTCTGGCCCCCACCTCTGATAACAGCCTCATCTCACAACAACCTTCTCTTTGATCAGGCTTCCAACTGTACTGGCTACTCTCTCCAATAGTAGGTTTTCTCTGTCGAACATTTCCCCACTTCCTGCCTCCCATGCCCCCACCATGGGCAAACTACCATCCATTTTATATTTCTCTATGTTTCTATGACTAGGTCAAATCACACTTTTTTTTTTTAACTTCTTACTACCATGTCCTTCTCATTCCTAACACTTTTCAGAATTGCAATGTTATATCTATTTGTGATTATTTTATTAATGTCAGTCTTCCCCACAGGCAGGTGGGTTTTATAAGGACAGGGTACAACTCAAGTCACTTTTGCCTCATCTCTCTATTCCCATACAGGAGCTGGCAGATAGAGAACACTCAAATATTTGCTAAGAAAACTAATGTTTTTCCAAAGAAGAATATGAATATATTATAAAATAGATTTTTGGGGTTTTATTTTATTTTAAATAATATTATGTTAAACCAGCTGAATGATAAACACTTTTTAAAAAGCATTTAGTTATACATACTTTAGGAATAAATAAAAATTCTGTCAGTGCACTTAAAGATTAGCCCTGAAGCAGCATGCTGAAGACATTATAACAAAAAAATTGCAGATGGCCAAGGAAGGATAACTTGAATCAAGGCAGCTGTTATACGAGACCAATGCTAGATAAGAAATCTAAAAACCTGAGAATTGCTCCTCCCTTATTACTTACATACTCTTATTACTTAAAATCCCTTAGTCAAAATTTCCTTATTTGAAAATCAGAGTTTACAATACTTAGGTGAGAATAGCTAAAAAAATAAATAAATAAAATAACAACAATAGTAAATGCTTTGTAATCACTAAAACTTCACAAATGTTAAAATCTTCTAAGAACAAGGGAGAAAATGACACATCAAAGTTGCCCTGAAGAGGAAAGAAAGCGGAGAAAAAAGAAAAAAGACAAGATTTGTCAAACTGGATGTATGGAGCTTAAACACTGCCATAAAATTTGGAACTTCTGCCTTACTGATTCAGATAAACATTTATTAAACAACTACTATGGTCTATGTACAATGTTAAGTATCGATGGATCTAAAGATGAATAAGACATACACCTACTCTATAACAAGGAAAATACATGTAAGCAAGCAGATAATCACAATATGGCCTGATTCCTGTAAAATGTGTTAAGATACTTATTAAAAATAATAATGACAAGAGAGATGAGAGAATGCATATAGGTTAGAAATTCTGGGATGCTGAGCAGGCTGGGGAGTGGAAGAGATTCAAGGCAGAGACAAATAAGCAAAGGAGATGAAGCTTTAAGATAAACAGAAGCCAAATCATGAAAGCTTTATTGTGCCCTGATGAAGAAATATCTGATTTGATTTATCCCACTGTAAGAGGAAACCACGGATATTGTAGAAGGGGAAAAAATATTAGAGGGAGTGAACAAATGCTAAGTTATCTCTCTGTACCAGTGGATTATGCCTCTTTAAATACAAAGAATTTAAACTTTAATCATCATAAAGATCTTTGCTTTTTTCTAAGACCAAACACTCTGAAGTGGGTCCAGTGGTTACAAAAGGTCCAGTAGTCAATAAAAATGTTTACACTTATCAAAACTTGAAAAATACTCTTAAGGTTTTCATCAGAGCACATCTTATCAAACAACAATCCATTCTCTTACTGCTTTTCCTATGTTCTTCATTCCACAATAGGCAAAGTTCAAAATGATAGTTTTTTAAAAGACTATTTGGAGGTAAACCCTTGCATTTAAAGATCTTGTAACTTAAGTTACAAGTAAAAATACACATATCTCAACTGAGGGTCAATGAATGATCCCATCAATTTTCTCTAAAAAGAACTGGCTGTGCACAGCACATTTTGTTAGGCTCTCAATAACACATATGCATTTCTTAAACACAAAATGTTAGTACTTCTCAAAATGGCAAGAGACAGAGTACTACATATTTCATGTATTGTTTGGCAAAAGATTCAGAATACTTTTGTCTACCCAGGCATCTTTACACTGTGGTAACAGTCTATGTACATTAATTTCAATTCTGCCAAATACTATAAATAGTGCCCAATGTACATTTAGGACGTTTAAAGAAAAAAACAAATCACACACTCACATCACAGCTTCTGGGACTTCAGTTTTCTCCCATAAATGGAAACAATGTTGTGACTCAAAGTTATTGTAATGTGACGGACAATAAATTAAATGAAAGCATAAAATTGCATTTGAAAGCTTCTACAGTTATCAAATATGTGTCACTACACAATATATAATAAATACTTGAAAACTGATTTTAGCTTCTAACTTTTCTATTTATTGACAAAAGTTATACACAGGTCAATCTCAGGAAAAGAACAACTCTGGAAATAGTTTTAAGGGACTGGCTACCTAGTTTTAATTCATCAGGTCCTACTGCTACATTTTAGTTTCAGGATAACTTTAAACATTTTGGTAAACTTTAAGCATTCTGGTAACAAAAAGAACTAAAATTAGCTGTAGAATGAGAGAACAATAAGTATATGCTTTCATCCCTTTCAATTTAGGTCAAAGAAATTAGTCGTCAGTGAAATTCTTGAAAATTCTTTTAAAAATTGTCCATATTTATTTAAAGCCCTAATTGAGAAAAAGAAAATAAGCCATCTATCCACAAATAATAATTTAACTGAGTAAGAAAGATGTTTGATTCTACTCATAACACAAAATAGAGAAATGGGATAATGTTCATCACTACTCTGGAAAAATAATAGCAACATCTTATATACAATAAATCCAAATCCTAAACTATCTAGGTTCCTTCCAGGCAAAGGACAGGCTGATAAATGTAAAATCTTAAAAAGAAAAATTAAAGCCTGGTAAAATGTAAAGAAACCATCTAACTTGGATGAATGCCTTATTTTAAAAAAAAAAAATACATAATAGACCCCGATGCTGTTGTATTTGTCAACCTAAAAAGTCAATTTTCCATCAGCTGCAGTTAGCTCATTTACAAAAGAAAAATTTTAACCTAAAAACATTACTCTCCACTCTTAATATGATCAATAACTTATATGACCCTTACTCTTAAATGCACAAATAAACCTAAACGTATAATTTCAACACTAAAAAAAGCAATTCCAACCGTTCCAGGGGAAGGCATGAACTGTAAAAGTAACACTTTGCAAGGCAAAACAATTCTGTTTGGGCAGGTATTCTCATTGTAATGAAGTCAAGTTGGCTAAACGTCATCAAAAAACAAACGGACAACGGGCAGCTAAAGTTTTATTATTACAACTGAAGCACTTTCAGCTATCAATTTGCCATAGAAAATTTTAAATTCTGATTCTGTTTAGCCTACCAAGTATACTGTTAGTCTAACTAAGAAATTGGAAGAAAACTTAGTAAATACTTCTTACATAATTCTTGATGAGGCACATACAGTGGACAAGATAAAGACGAAGAAACCCAAATCACTAGGCTACCTATAAGATATACTTCAAAGTTATTTTCATCACAGTTTTAATCTAACCTACACAAAGTCTCTATTTTGCATAGTTTTAATGATCTCCAAATAGTTTAAAGGCTAAATGTGTGTGCAGATGATATACCAATATGTAAATAAGAAATGCTTACTCCCTCCCTTTGTTGTAGAGCAAACCTTTGATAGTTAATGCTAATCAAAGAGAAGTATTCCCTAACAAAAAGTCTTAGGAAACTCCAGAGGTGTTTTGAAAAAGGGAATTTATTTTCTGGTTATTAAATTAATTTAATATGCAGAAATTTCAAGTAAAGTCAGTCCAACTCTGCCGAACAACATAATATATCACTCGTTTTCAAAGACAATTTTACTAGTTGAATTCTTAGAGTGATATTATAACTTTTAAGCATAAATCCTATTCTTTCTAAAGAAGACAGAAGGATATGGAAATCTTAGGTACTCAGATGTTGTTTACTCTTCTTGAAGTCAGTCAGTCAAAAGAAAGGTAAAATTACATAAATAAAAAAGGTTTTTTAGCTTATATAGTATTAAATGACTTTACAGCCAGCAATAAAAATTCCAAATATTAAAAACCATATTTTTAAAACTCTGCGCTCAGAATCTAATTACAAATGCAAAAAAGGGAACAAAGAACAACTTCACACACCACCTTTTTATAAGTACAGGCCTATCAAAAAAGAATGTCATCTTCCTTCCCAAAACTATGACTATTAAGAAAATTTCTTGAATCTTTAGCTCTGCTGTAATGTGAAGAGTTTGAAATTTAATACAAGTTTAACATCCTTTAAATCTAATCAAAATTTTAATTAAATTAAAAATTTAAATTTAACAATGACCATTCCTGAATCCTTGAGACAAAATTCTTAACTTTCATTTTGTATAGTCTTGTAAATGCTGTGTTTTAATCTTAGTTGTGTCTCCTGATGCATATTTTTATTACATTAAAACAACTAACATTTATTGTATAATATGTGCCAGGCACTGTCTGAAGCACTTAACATCTAATCTTCATATTATCCTATAAAACTGGTCCAGTATTTTCCTTATTTTTCAGATGAGAAAAATGAGGTACAAAAAGCTCAGGTGATAGGACCAAAGCCACAGATTCAGTTCATAAGTGATTGAGCCTGTTTCAAATCCAGGTGGCCTGACTTCACAGTCTACTCTCAACTGCTACAGAGGCTGCCTCCAAAATAATGATGATTATCCAAACATAAGAATCACATTAGTAATTTTAGGAAAGACAAAGCTTCAAGAAGTTACTAAGAAATTTCAGACTGATAAAGGAATGAAATTTATATCACCTGCCTCAAGAGCTCTCTGTCATTTTCAATATTTCTCTGTATTCCCTTTCAGTTTTGAATAGAGTATCTGAGCATCTACAATGCCCATGGCATTAGGAAGGAGATGAATACTACTAATTGATATCAAAGTGTAGGAGCAGATAAGTTAATGAACACATGTATTACTTACTGGTTTTATGAGAGGCAATAAGAGATACCAGGAAGCACAAAGGAAGAAATGGTAACCAGCAGGTAGGGGATAAATATATTTTGAATTGATGAAAAGTACTATGCAATAAGAGCTACAAAGACTTTTATATTATGCTACCTTTATGAGTTTAAACATGTATTGTAAATACAGTTCTTAAACATTTTCAGATTTCAGCCCTTATTCAGAATTTGGTATCTTACATGTAATTTCAGGGGGTTCGAGAATCTCTAAAAAGGTGAGAACACCTAAGGAGGCAGCAGAAATTCACTGAAGGGTTTTATATTACTAAATGAGTCAGTTTAGTAATTTGTCATGATCATCTGGACAGCAGTTTGGAGGAAGACTTAGTGGCATGGGGCTAAGAAGAAACTAATATTCATAGTAATCTAGATATAATGGGAGGGAGGGTGCTATAAGGTTCCAGAAATACTAAGGAAATAGAAATAAAAACATTTGGCTACTGATGGATGGTGGTACTATCCTTCAAGATTCAGAATTTGAGGAGTTATGTCTCAGACATAATGACTTTGAGATATTTATAAAGTCACCAGATGAAGACAAGCAGATGACAGTTGAATTTACTTAGATTTCTTTGGTACTCTGTATTCAAAAAGTCAACCTCAATACTTTTTAGGCACCTGAAATCAAACATGACTAAAAACAAAATTATCTGCTTCCTTAAATCTCCATCTTCTTCTTTTGATCTTAGATAAAACTTAGAACCATCCTCATTGTTTCCTTATTCCTTGGCCACTTCTCATTCCTATGACAGAAACTTCTTTGGAACTTGTCTCCCTCATTCCCAAAGGCTGTGACCCTAAATCTGGCCTCTTGGACACACTTATACAGAATACTGACCTCCCAAGTGGCCTCCATGACTTCAGTCCTTTCTCCCTTTCATCTTTTCTCAGTTCAATCATATCTAATTAGTCTTCTCTCCATTTGATCTTCAATAGTTTTCTACTGCCTATATAATCTAATCCAATTTCCTAGGCACTGGTTTTCAAGTACATTGACACAAGTAAAACAGGCTTAGTTAAAATCCTGGCTCTGTATTTATTTTATGTTACCCAAAACAGCATTTCTCAAAATTTTCTGAGTAAGAATTAGCTGGTATATTCTCTCCTGGAAATCTGGATGTATCTAGGTTAGAGTCTAAAAACCTGTGTTTTGTTTAACAAGTGCCCCAGGGTATTATTCTCAGAGAAATCTGTAAACACTGATAAATAATTTCATCTCCTCAATTCTGTTTCTTCATCAGTAAATAAGGATACTACCATCTTTCGCATTGATTAGATTCAATAATCTAAGTAAAATACCCAGTAAGAACCGGGTAATATAGTAGGTACTAAAGAAACACTCATTCCCTTTATTAAAGTTTTTTCTCCCACCCCGCTTTCACATTTAGGATTGTGCCCTGACTCCCCTAAAATGCCTTGAGGTTTAAGCAGCTGTGCCCCTCCTCATTCCCTTGGCTCGAAAAATATTTCCTAATTTTCTTAGCCAAAATTCTATTCATTCTTTAAGACCAAGCCAAAAGTTCTTCTGTTCATTCTGAATCTTTCATGCGGAATAATTTTTATCAGGTCTAAAGCATTTTATTGCTACCTCAATATGGCATTTCTTCCATTGTTTAATGATTAGTTATATATCTGTCTCACTTGGTAGATCATAGTCTAGCTCCTCGATGGCCAACACCTAGACTACCTGACCTACAGGATTAGACAGACAGATGGACAGACAGACATGCGACAGACTGATACAGATAATATATGAATAGGATTAAATAAAAAATATACTTGCCCCAATTGTAAAGAAAAATGCTTATTTGTTTAATTTTTTTAATCAAATTCTCAATACTTAAGATATGGTCATAGTTTTAACGAGAGTAAATAATCAAAGAATCATATTGGAAAAGGAAAGCAATAACTACATATCAAACTGGGTAAACATGTGAAATAGTATCTACGAGGGTCACTCTCTTGTCCAGTATTTTAAACACTGTAACTACTGAGACTGTAAAAGTCAGCAAAATATTCACTGCATTTTTCATGAGTGACATCGAGTTGGGGCAGTGTTCATATTAACTTAGAAAATGGAAATATTTTTATTGTGTGAGAACGTTTCATCCAGAATAAAGTTTAACATGGGTAAGATCAAAGTAGTATAACATTTTATACTGTATTTCATATAGACCAAATGATAGGAAAACAACTAGTAAACTGGGGACTAGAGTGAATTAAATACAAATTAAAATGCAATAATGTACAAAATTTTTTAAAAGATCAATTCATTTAAAAAAAAAATCCATTCAATTTAATGAAACTAGTTTTTAATAACTAATGTTTATAACCTGTAAGTCTCAATAATTTATAAAAGCTGATACTGTCTACCTAGCTTGATTATTTAATTACTATGTAAAGAGAAAGTAGAACTTAGAAGAAATTGGAGATCTTTCCAGTTTTTTAGGCTTCTACAAGCAAATTTTCTGTCTTCAGGTTTCACTTTTTACAGAGATTTTTTCCCTATGAGATTTTTAGATATCTACAATATTATTTGGTGTGAATAAAATTGCTAACTCAACAAAAAATCTAAAAATCAATACAGAATATTCATTTTGTATAATTTAAAATATGACAGATATTTGATTTACTTCATTTCAAACCAGTCTACTTAATTTACTGCAGCTTTGAAAAAATCACGATGCCATACTTACATCTCTATTACAGATCCCACAGATGCTTGTCAGAAAAATAAAATATCATCTTCACCAGCAGTCAGCCAGTTTGCAGTACTTTCTCTTCCACTGCTGGTTCATTTTGTGCTACAAAAGAAAAAATTTCAACATCAACTTCTCTACAGACTAATTAAGATCAACAAAATTAGTCAATTATGTATGATCCTTTCATTTAACAAAATTCAGTGGTAAATTTTATCTTACAAGTGAAAAAATTTCAAGATGAAGATGTCTGCTTTCACCACTACTATCCAACATTATACTGGAAGTTCCAGCCAGAGCAATTAGACTTGAAAAAGATCTGAAAGGCATACAAATTGGTAGGAAAGTTAAACTAACTCTATTTGCAGAGATAGTAAAACTACTATCTCCATACAGAAAATCCCCCAAAATCCCCAAAGCTACTAGAGCTAGTAAACAAACTCAGCTAAGTTGCAGGTTGCAAGCTCAATGTACAAAATGTCAGTGGTGTTTCTATATCCAGCAGTCAGCAATCCAAAAAGGAAATCAAGAAAGCAATTTAATTTATAATAGTTATCTAAAACAATAAAATACCTAGGAATCAACTTAACCAAGGAGGTGAAAGACCTGTACACTGAAAACTATAAAACTCTGCTGAAAGAAATTAAAGAGCTAAATAAATGGAAAGACAAATAGTATTCATGGACTGAAGAATATGAAGATGACTACACTACCCAAAGTTCTCCACGGTCAACGTATTTCTTACCAAAATTCCAACAGCCTTTTTTGCAGAAATGGAAGAACCAATTCTCAAATTCATATGAAATTGTGAGGGGCCCGAAACAGCCAAAACAATCTTAACCAAGTTGGAGAACTCACAGTTCTCGATTTCAAAACTTACTACAAAGTTACAGTAAAAAGACAATGTAGTACTGGCATAACAAAAGACAAATACATGAATAAAAGAGAGTCCAGAAATAAACCCACACAGTCTATAGCCAATTGATTTTCAAAAAATGTGCCAAGTCCATTCAATGGGAAAAGAATGGTCTCTTTAACAAATGCTGAGACAAATGAATTTCCAAATGCAAAAAAAGAATGAAATTAGACCCCTACTTCACACCATATACAAAATTAACTCAAAATAGATCAACAACCCTAATATAGAACATAAAACCATACAACTCTTAGAAGAAAACATAGGGGTAAATCTCCATAATCTTGGATTTAGCAATGGATTCCTAGATATGACACCAAAAGCATAAGCAATATAAAACAGAAAATGAACTTCATCAAAATTAAACTTTTGTGCACTGAAGGACATTATCAAGCAAGTAAAAAGATAATCTACTGAATGAGAGAGAATATTTATAAATCACATATCTGAAAAGAGTTTAATATCCAGAGTATATAAGGAATTCCTACAACTCAACACCAAAAAGACAAAAAAAAATTTTAAAAATGGGCAAAAGAGTTAAATAGACATTTCTTCAAAGATCTAGAAATGGCCAATAAGTACAGGAAAATATGCTCCACATGATTAGTCATTAGGGAAATGTAAGTAAAAACTACAATTATATGCCATTTCACATCTACTAGATGGTTATATTTTAAAAAAATAACAAGCATTTGACGAAGATGTGAAAAAATTGGAACCCTTGTACACTGTCAGTGGAAATGAAAAATAGTACAGTCACTGTGACAAGTTTGGTGGTTCCTCAAAAAAGTTAAACATAGAATTACCATATAACCCAATTCTACTCCCAGGTATATAACTAAAGAAATTAAAAACAGGGACTCAAACACATACTTGTACATTAATGTTCTTTGCAGTTATTCACCGAAGTCAAAAGGTGGACACAATCCAAGTGGCCATCAACAGAAGAATGGGTAAACAAAATGTGGTATATAAATGGAATATTACTCAACTATAAGAAGAAACGAAGTTCTAATACATGCTACAACATAGATGAACCTTGAAAACATTATGCTAAATGAAATAAGCCAGACACAAAAAGAAAAATGTATGATCTCACTTACATGAAATACTGAAAATAGACAACTTTTCAGACAGTAAGTAGATTAGGGGTTACCTGGAGCTAGGTAGAAGAGTACAAAGAGTTATTGTTCAATAGGTAGAGTTTCTATTTGAGGTGATGAAAACACTGTGGAAATATATTGTGGTGATGGGTGCACAGTACTGTAAATGTAACGACACCGAATTGCACACTTAAAAATGATTAAAATGGTAAATTTTACATTATTTTTATTTTACAATAAAAAATTATTTTAAGTGAAACAAGCTCTACATGCACAAGGTAGCCCTCATGCAATGTATTTTAGTCACTGCTTTCCTACAAGGAGGTGGTGTGTGCAAAGTCAAGGTCATCACATTAACTAGGACTTCCTGCTATTTATATGTACGTCCAAATTTACAACCATTAAGCCAGACTTCTCTCAAGATGTCGCTTGTCCCGGGAATCCGCAGTCACCAACCAAAACATGATCTCAGTAATTAATCCTTTCTTCTCATTTAATATTTCCTCCTTCCACTTCACCATGCCCACTGGAGGAGGCATCATATTACATAGAAATTAAAATCAAGCACACATGATGACTAATGAGATAATGGGCCTCACAGTAACCACAAGATAGGAGAAATTTGAATCTCTTTTCAGTTCCATGTACCTCTCATAGTGTGGGAATCAATCTGAGAAATTTGGGATTTTAGTGTTTAAAGATATTTTTAATATGACATGGCCTTAAAAGACAAGTCAGCTTATCCCACCAAATGTCTAACAGAACAAACAATAATCTGTTTCAAAACTGGAGAATTTTCAAAGTAACTGACTAAAGATTTCTAGACTTTTTGTTTTATTCTGACTTTAGAACTTAGTCTTTACATAATACAGACTCCATTATCCTGACTCCTCCACCTGCCCATCCCTTTCACTTTACCTTCTAGATGCTTACAACTTCAATGGCACCACACAAGACATTCATTTCTCTCCTGCAGCCTACCTAAAACAGAAACTGCCCATTTTCACATACAGGCCAAAAGAAAACATTCTACTATTGTAACATCATTACTCTTAACGAAACACTTACTTGAAGTCTACCATTGGCTATAATCCCCTACATCTGTTCTCTCTTAGCCTTTTAGGCAATGACTTAATCTTCTCACTACTAGCCATCCTCTTCATCCTAACTCCTGACACATCACTATGAGCCTATTTAAATAGCCTTGAGACTGAACCATACAACAACCAACTCAGAGGTTCTGAAACTTGCCCCATTGTGGCTGCTTAGAAATATGCATTCTTATGCCCTAGCCCTAGAAATTCTAGGCAAAAAGACATGGGTTTAAGCCCAGGAATCTCATTTCATCTGATACTGATACAGATGGTCCTTTGAGCACAATCTGAGAAAGTGTCCTGTTTTCAATTCCTAAAATCCTAAAATTCAATGAACTTCACCCCTCTCCTCCAGCAATGAAATATGATGGCCAAATTTGGAACTAGATGCCACCTAAAACTGCTGCTTCTCTAAAATCTTAATCTCACTCTCAGATCACAAGTTCTGGACCTCCCAGTTCACTTAATCACTCATTCCCACACCTGCTCTTTAATTTTAGAGGGACCTCTAGCCTCTTGATCACCTTTCCTTTATGCAGTTTCTGACCTCCCCCCGGCCCCGCCCCCGTCTTCCCACCCAATCTGGAGCTCAACCATTTTTTCTTCCACAGAATCCTAAGCTCCCTCCTGTCTCATGTGCACATACTCCACAAACCCCCATCTCTACATGAATCTTACAATGTGACATCTCAACTCGCATGTCTTAACCAATGAGTGCTGGAGAAAACAGAAAATTCTTTTTCTCAACCCTTCTCCAACTAACTACACCAAATTTTGTCAATTTTCTACTTTCTTGCCTTGCTAGTGCTGTAGTTTAGACATACATCATTTCTCAACTAGATTACTGTACGGCCTGATTATCTTGCTTCTGTGTCACCCCTCAAATTTATTCACTAAGCCTCTGATACATTTAAAAGCCAAAATGGACCTCTCATACATGAAGCTCTCTATTGCCTTTTCAACCTATACAATAAAGACAAAGCTCCTTAGGACCACATTCAAAGGCTTTAATGACCTGAAACTTAAATAACTTTCTAGCAAATTATCTATCTCCCACAACCACTTTCACTTGAATACTCTAGTTATACCACATTACTCATAGTTCTCCAAATTTCTTTGTAGTTCCGCATTTCCTCCTGTCTGTATAGTCTATCTCTTTTACAGTTTGTGAATGGAACTGCCATTTTATCACCAAAAAATTATTCCCTCCCCTATATTTTGTATATTCTTCTATTAAACCATGAGCCCCCGTGGATAGGAGCTGTGTTTATATCTCTAAGTGGCCAGTGCACTGTCAATAAGTTTTGTTGACTTGAACTGATATTTCTTGGATGAATGAAAAGCTAACTTTCTAAAATAACTGTTGAGACAAATAAAATATTGAAAAACTAAATTTACCCACAAGAAATATTTCAGTTTAAACTGTGACCAAGGCACTCGATCACAAAAGATATAAAGATATCTAAGTTCTAATCCTTTCTTTAAAGAACTTAAAATCTGAAGGAGTTAACTAATTTACAACTATAGGATTCAAGCCATCTTTATATCTTTTGACAAACAACACAATTTACTCAGCTATTATTCACTGGCAATGAATTCTCCAGAATGCAGATAAAAATCCAAGAATAAAACTGACTTTAGCAAACCTTGCAAGCTACGATGACTTTTCCAATTTCTATATCCCATGGATAATTTTCAAAGTAGACTCTTAATGGATAATAACAGAGGAAAGAAAATCAACTAAAATCCATATAATAATCTAGAACTTAACTATGCAAACTGTTATCCCCAATGAGCAATATCAGTATTACCTGGCAGCTCCTTACAAATGAAAAATCTGGAGCCCCACTCCACACCTCCAGAATCAGATATTCAGTTGATTCATATGCATATTAAAGTTCAGGAAGCAGTAGTAGACCCATATCATTGAAACCCATATCATCTTCAAAACGACTTTGTGAAATATGACTATACTCATTTTATAAATGAGGAAACCCAAGTCCACAAGAATTTAACTCAAATCACAAAGTTGTCAATATTGGGAGATGGGATTTAAACTAAAAAGATATTTTCTTCAATGTACTGTATCTCAGAGAAAAGGTCTAGAATAACAATATTTAAGAGAAATATGATGTAAGCCATATATGTAAATTCAAATTTTCTATTAGCCACATTAAGAATAAAAAGAAACAGGTAAAATTACTTTTAAAAATATTTTTTATTTAACCAAGGAGTGTTAATGGGGAAAATATATTCAAAACATTACCATTTACAAATGTATTCAATATAAAATTATTGTGATATTTTACATTCTTATATGTGTGTGTACACACTTTCAAATCCAATATATATTTTACAATGATAGCACAACTCAGTTCAGATTAGCCACATATCAAATGCTCAATATCTCCATGTGGCTAGTCGCTACCATACAGGTTTAAAATGTCTTGCATAAGGGCAGTACAGGTTTAAAATGTCTTGCATAATAACAATTATTTTTTTTTAACACAAAAATGGCAATTTACTACATAATTCTTATCAAAATTCTTTGAATAAAGAAAATGAACTCCATGTTACTTTTCTCACACCTTTGCTGGCACAGATAAAAAAGAAAATTGCATATTCTGTTGTGATCAAATTGAAAGGTTTAGGTGGTCCCAATTATGCTAAACTGATCCATTAACTAACCTCTGAGAACTACAATGCCAAATGGGCACAACATAAGGCATGGAATGAAATATTTAGAATGAGAACGTGAAGTGCCCTCAGAAAACTTCTACATTTAAAACCAAAGATTTTTTTTTTAGACGGGGAAGGAGAGGCTTTCACTTTCAACCAAAAATAGAGTAGTATAATTCTAACTACAGGCCAGAATTAATTTGGTAAACATAAATAATTCATACATAATTCCTGCTACAATGCATGATTTGTAAATTATATACCAAATTCAATACTGTGTATGAATCACTACAGTAAAATTTATACAATATCTTGACATGCAAATACCAATTAGTTAATAGCTTAACGTTCCTTCTTTAGGTGCAAATTTATACAGAAATGAATTATTAGGAAGGTAACATAAAAAAAAACATAAAAAGAGAAAAGATTTGAAAGTAAATTAGATATCTCTCCCTTAACAATTCTGGAGGTAAAAAAAAAAAAAAAAAGGTGACAGACTAAATTATAAAATACATTAAAAAGTTGAGAGATTATTGATGAATTTATATAATTTACTCAATCAATTACTATCACAAAAAATGAATACTGTACTATTTACAATTTGTGATCAATCAACAAATTCGCACTTCTATTATTTGCAATACTATTATTTTCTCCTAAAATATCTAGTATTAATTACAGTTCTACTTTTCAAGTTAGTCACAAGGTGAAAAACTAGTTTTTCAGATAGTAGATTAAAATAAATATCTTTTGTAAAGAACCAAAGATAAATATGTAAGTTAAAAAATCAAATTAGAGATATGAAGACTACCTGTACTTTTCCAACTACTAATGTTTAATAACATAGTTTTTTTACTCTTTATTCAAAATACACACAACAGAAAATGGTCTATATAAAAGCTATCAGTGACAGAAAAGAAAAATATTTCAAATCTTCCAATTTTTGGTATATACCCCCCCTTACCCCCCCCCAAAAGAATAAAATCAAGGACTAGTGAAAGGAAGAACAGTGAGATCAGCTGTAATTGAGCAAATACATCTTAGTATTTCTTAGGAAAGAGTTCCAAATTGAGAGATATAACTAAACGCTGCAATGTTTCCATATTTAGCTTTCCTTCTCATCTCCTGTTAAAACTGGGCTTAGAGAAAGCACAGGTCACAGTGGGAAACAAAAGTCTTCTATGAAAACTTGTTTTAACTAAATGGGGTCTAATACTTCATTTTAAAGAACTATTTCCCTTATTGTATAGCACTTCCCTTAAAAAACATTACTAGATGGCAACCTACAGCCTTCACAATATTCACAGTCAAGCATTAGACCTTTATATTTCTCCCTCTAACATATTGGCTTTTCATTTAACAAAACGTGAAATGTGAATATGAACAAATGTTATCTTTTAATCATATCAAACAAAAGTTTCATAGTCTGCAATCATTTTGTAAATAAGGCTCTGCTAATTATCTGTGCGACCTTGGCCAAGTCATAACTCCCACATCTTAGTTCTTTTACCTTGCTCTATACTTCTGTAATTCTAAATTTTAAATATTTTAATTAACAGTTATTTAACAATAGGTTTTGTTTCAATTAACCCAAAAGGTAATAAGCCATGAACATGAAACAGTCCATAACTAAGCATAAGTGGTTGCAGCAGAATGTTAGTAAGATGGTTTCCATACCCACAAAGATTTTTCCTAATCCAGACAGTTGTTTCACAAATTCAGGTTCTTAGGCACAATCAGAAGCCAGGCAAGAGAATGGAAAAGGTTCAGCACCTTGTTACTAACACTGGAAAAAAAAAGCATTCAAATATCCAAATGACAATCTGTCAGGCATTTTATGCTAGTAAATGGCTAATACATAAAATAATATTCTCTAAACAGATCAATATTGTTAAAAGATTTAATATTGTCTTTTTCTTCTACTAAGTCAAGAAATAATTTTTCAATCCTTCAAAAAAAAATCTGCCCTATTCTGACAATTCAAGTTGGTGGAAACTGAAACAAAATATTTTATCAGTTGACACATCTCCTAAAAGATAAAACCCTGTCTCTTTTTTTCTTCCTCTCAACTAATGACCAGCTCTTTGGAAATATAGTTTTCCTGATGATTATAATTCTACTAAGTTTTTAATAACCAGTAAATAACAAAACCTTCAAATGTCTACCATTATTTTCATTTTGCCCACAACTTACATTGGTCTATTTGAAACAAATTCTAAATCAAATATTGGGCTTCACAAAATGCCCAATTTATGATATACACGGCTAAACAAACACATCTAAAATCTATTTATAGAGTGGCTTTCATTCTTACAGTTTTCTAAAATGAGATTTACTTGACCTATTTTCATGTGTTTTTAGAACATCCAGGCACTCATCACAAACAGTATTTGCTGGTCACAAAAACATCAAAGGCAGTATCGTTAATCCTATTTGTGTGGGTCATTTTCTTCATGTGTCCTATATACCACCTCTTTTAAAAATCTAAATATAGATTCACTTACTTAAGAAAAAGGTCTTCTAAGTTCTGTAATTATATACTGCTTTCAATGCCAATGTTATACTTTCACATCCTATTTAAAAAGTAAGCGAGGGGAAGGAAACACCTGAAATGTCAATCATGCAAAGACAAAGCGTTTTCAATCATTTCTTAGCTTTCCTCTCCCCACAACTCCAAAGTTTTAACATTACAAAAATGTTAAATAAAATGTACGTATTTTCGAAATTTGAGAAATACTAAAATGGCACTTACGGAAAAGAAATAAAAACATATACGAAAACGAGAATAAAAAAAAATCTAGTTGCGAGGACGTGTGTGTAAACTCAAAACAATTTTGCAGCCTTTCTCCAGACGCCTATGGAAAATAAAATAGCGAAAACAATGGAAGACCTGTACTTTTTCAGACGGGATGAGGGTTAGAGAACTCCGTACCCAGCAACCAGAACAAAGCAACAGTCTCGGCTTTTAAAATGCACTGAGGTTTTGAAGACTCAACGGGTATTAAGAGGTATCTTACTTGTTCCGATGCTTTAATAAGAAATCAAAACAACTTAGACTATGCAGCGCTGGGTTTAACCAGGTCAAGGTGGAGGGACTACTACTCTTCGTATTAGGCAAGACCCAGACACTGAGCAGGGAGAGGGGGAGAAGGAAAAGAAAGAAGCCGCCGTAGACACTCCGCAAAGACAAAATGTAGAGACTGTACACCCTGGCTGCAATCTAACCCAAGGCCCGGGTAGAGGCCTCCATTCGGGAAACAGGGAGCAGAATATCCCCCCAAACCATCGGCGCCCCTAAATCTTGAGGCCAGAAGGTCCCTGGGTAGAGGCCTGACATCACAGCCGAAGGCAGAGGAGATGGACCTGACTGCCACCAAAGACAGCGACGAGGACCCCAGCGGAAGAGGCTGCGCAGTAATGGCCGCTACTCCGCCTCTCGCACCCCGACCGTGACCAGCTCCGGGCCGTCGCCCAGGGCAGGGGCTGCGGCGGTCGCCGGCAATGCAGAGCCCGTCACAGTCTTCTGGCCTGCGACAGCGGCCACGGCGGGGGCGCCGGGAAGGGTTGAAGCAGCCCCAGCCCATCCCGCCTTGGCACCGACAGCTGCGGCAGCGCTGGCCCAAGGGCGTCCACCTACGTACCGGCCCCTGACCCCGCCGCCGCCCCTCTCAGGCCCAGAGCGCAGGGTCGACCGGGAGCGCGTTGCGGCGGGAGGTGACACCGCGGGCCATCACTCCTCTCCCCGAGTTATGACCCCGTAGCGGCTGACTTTCGCCCTGACCCCCGCGAGGGCTTTGCCCTGTCTCCCACCTCTCCGGCCACAGCCTCGGCAGTCTCGCAGTCTTTTCTCCTCGGCCTCGGAGCCCGCAGCGGCCGGGGGCGCGCGCGTGGGGCGGAGTCGCGGGGGGCGGAGACGCGCGGGGCGGAAGCAGCGCCGCGCACCCGGGACCTCGCTCTAGCCCCTCCCAGCCCTAGTTCCCCCTGCCGCTCTTAAAGCGTTCGGGTGGGTACCTACCTTCTGTGTTTGGGGTTTTGCAGTTTCGCTGCCTGGATCTATTAAACTGTTTTATGTTTTGCTTTAGTTGTGATTGGGTGCAGGTTCCTTAGAGAGATTTGGGGCCGAGAAAATAAGACACGCATAGGACCAGCAGATGGTGCTACTCAGAAACCCAGCTTCGAGACCTAGTTGGATTTTAGGGTGACGAGCCCTTGGCAAAGTACTGCTTGTTCTTTAAAGAAAGAGAGGGAGGAAGGGAGAGAGAGAGAGAAAGGAGAGGGAGATGGGGCGGGGAAAGAGAGAGAGAGACGAGAGACAGAGACAAGAGAGAGAAGGTCCTTTAGGACGTTCCAATTTATTCACTTTCTGAATGGTTGAGCAATTTAATTGGAAAAAATGGATCTTTCATTTTGGACCCATTTTTCTTAAACTAGGGCATAGGAAGCCGAAGGAAGAGATTAATCATTATAAGAATTTAAACTAAAGAAATGGCTTATTTTATTGCATGCGTGTTGTTTTAAACGTCAAAGCCCAGGCAATATCCTCCATTTCATTTTAGCACATACATTGTCTTTTTCGGAACTGACTATATTTTCTTAATTTGTAGTAAAATGAAGAGGGTGGAAGAGCATGCTTTTTGTCCTTAAGAGTATATATTTCAACATTCCATGCCAGTATCCTCTTACTTGCAATGCTGTTGCGTTTGAGATCTCAGTAACTTTTTATTCGAGATTGGAAATTTTCAGTGTCATTATATAGAGAGAAATGTGTACTTTTTTTATTCCTCTGAAATCAATTTATTTTAAGGTCACTGTTCATATATATATGTGTAACCAGTTCTTGACGAGTGCTATCTAGCTCAATACTGCCTACTCATGTAAATAAAAGCAATATTTTTATTACTTCTTTAAATGTAGTAATACTGAATTGTATATGCTCCAACTTTAAACTTATTTCTCTATCTTTATGCTCTCCTTAGCCATCCAGTTTTATCCCTCTATCCTACATACTCCATGAAGATAATAGCTAAAATTTGATACATACTTGAAGATTTCAGCTTGAAGAGCTAATGCTACTATTACCTAACAATGTACAAAGCATTGTTCTAAGTCTTTTATACATATTAGCTCATAATATAATATGAGGTAGGTACTGTTGTTATTCTCATTTTCCAGAAACAGGTGCAGCTGGGATTTTAATCCAGACAGAGACTGTAAGAGTTCACCTCATCCAAATCTTCATTTTATCAATTGAGAAATAGAACAAAGTTAAATGACTTGATTAAAGACTTTTCTGGTTGAAGGCAGAACTGGGATCAGAAAACAGTTGGCTTACTGATCCATAAATACTTTTAATTTAGGAAAAGTTATTCACAGTTCTTCAGTAGCTCCAAGCACATATTTAGAAAAAGTTTATTACAGTTGGGGGCTACCTAAATCCCTCATTGCGTAGGTGGTACAGAGGGCAACTCTGGTGCTTTCCGCCAGTGCAGTGAAGAATTACAGATCAGCAAAATTTAGGAAAAGTAAGATTTATTAAAGTATGTTTCAAGAGAGAAACGGGATACCCCAGAGATGGCCTGCAGCCCCATAGAATTCCAGAAGTAAACCTTATATTGGCCCTCCAAGGATGTTTATAGGGGTGGTGCTAGATGATTGGCAAGTGAGGTCATTTGATTGACATTTGGCTATTATATAACCCTTTACTGTGCATGTGGTTACCCAGAATTCGATTAGATTCATGAACTGGGCATATGTATGATATTATACTAATGGTATAATGAGGCTAAGGTTATGGTCAGTATATGTACTAACTGTGAGGGCTCTTGTGGCCAGACTAAACCAGTGGTTATTTCTGTGGTTTTTATTTCCTTGTAATAGTAATTTTTAACTGTAAAATGAATGTTTCACAGAGCTCCTAAGGGAGGTCTGTGGATTGGGCTTTCATTCCCCCATGGCACATGTCTACCTAGCTGCCTAACAAGTCCACTAAAAGAATATTATAATTTATATTCTATCTGTCTATCTGAAAGCAAGAAAGGAATTAATAGGAATCCCACTAAAATGGCCTCCCAGGTTTCTAATCCTCTCTCAGCCGCACCCATAATCTTAGTCATTTCAACGAATAACTCCATTTTTCCTTGTCCAAACTCATTTTTAATTCTTCTCTTTCTTTTATGCCCCATGTCCATTTTGCAAATAATCTGTTGGCTCTCCCTTCAAAACACACCCAGAATGTAACTACTTACCACTTCTACTACAAACTGCAGCATCTCTTGTTTGGATTATTGCCACAGCCCAAGGACTGTTTTTCTTGCTTCTGTCCTTTCCTTTGAGTCTATTCCCAACACAGAGGCCAAAGTAAATTCATTAAAAAGAAAGATCATACCACACGTCTGTTCAAAGTCTCCCATGGCTTCCCAAAACAAAGTAAAAACTGAAGTCCTCAATGCCTCTAAGACTCCCATCATTACCTCTCTGACCTCACAAACTGCTCACTCAGCTTAATTTTCCAAGAAGACTCTACACAAACTCTCAACTCCATTCTTTGTTATATCTTCTGCTTAGAATACTCTTCCCCGTCATGACTTCCTTTGTCTGTGCTCCAATGCCATCTTTACAGTCAATCCTCTACTTGCCGCCCTATTTTAAATTATGACATCTCCTGGTCCAGATATTTCTTATTCTGTTCCTTTACTTTTTTAATACTTATCACAATATAAGGGATGATTTAGTTGGCTTATTCATCTTGTATATCTCTCCACACTAGAATATAAATCTCCTGAGGCTGGAATTTGTATTCTATTTTATATCCCAACTGCCAAGAGTAGTGCCTGATACACTTAGAGAAGCTCTCTGTAAATATATATTGAATGAATGAATATGTGTATACACATTTATATACCAAGTAATATATAAATGAATGAAAACTTGTTATGTGTCAGCAGTTGTATGTAAGCAGGAGAATTGAATGTATGGAGTAGTATACACCCCACCTCCACGAGCCACCTGAAAGTTAGTGATGAGTTTCTCTCTGAATATTACAGGACAGAACCTTTCAACATTGTTAAAAGTGTTTTAAAAGTAATTGGTTTCAAGTAATTGTTAAAATTCCCCCAAACTTTCAAATGATTTTCTTAAAGAAATCAGAGCCTAACAGATTTAAAGTATCACTGTAATAATGTTACTATCACTGCATTATGTTTTACTTCATTGAATCAAAGATAAAGGAAAAGGAGTTGCAACAGACTACTAGGAATTGCTCATTTTTCATAACCCACTATTTCCCACAAACATAAAATGTTTTCATGAATTCCACAATCTCCTCCAGACACCCCTCTTTCTCCATGCTGTTTCTCAAAACCCCAACGTGTTTAATGTTATTTGTTTTGCTTAATGATCAAAATATTCTTCTTGTTTTGTTAATATCTGAAGATATCCATGAAAACGTGCATGAGAAAATTATGTTATAGTGGAAAATATACTGAAAACTGTTGATATTTCTAGTCTAGGGCAGTGTTTTTCAAAGCGTTTTCTATTGTTCTGTGGGGTCCTTGAGATCCTTTCAGAGGGTCCTAGACATGAATTATTTCAGTAATAATATTAGACTCTAGCTGCCTTGTATACTCACTTACTCTCTCTCCAGTGTACAGTGGAGTTTTCCAAAAGCTAAGTGGTGTGTGATGTAGTAACATATTGAATGTAGATGCAGATATTAGAATTTGCCTATATTGCTAAAGCCAGGCATTAAAGAAATTTGCAAAGCATAAAATAATGCCACTCTTCTGAATTAACTTTTTTTTTGGAAAATATAAGAAAATACTTATATACTTATGTTAACCTTTAATGTGCTTATTATTTTTAAATGAATTAATAAAAATTTTAAACAATTCTCAGCTTTACTTTCTAATTTGGTAAATATTGATAGATTAACACATATAAATAATAGTTCTTTTGAGTCTTCTATAATTTTTAAGTGTAATGTAGTCCCCAAATCAAAAAGTTTGAGAAAACTGGTCTAGGGCTACTTTGTGTACCAACCCTAAGCTAGATTTCTTCCCACATGCCAGCAATCATCTGATAACTGCGTACACAACTTTCTCGTGTGTCTGGAAATAAAACAAACCAGATTTAGGAATGTACCAGTCATTATAGCTAGCAGATGAATAGAAATAAAGCCAAAAGGAAGTTTTGGAAAGCAAACTTTTCAGTTGAAGATTTTGCTCCAAGAGCTGATACATACCTTGGTCTTTGTTGTACTATTTCATGGTGTTCTCCTTAGGGTAATCAAATAATATATACTTTTCTAGTAGAATTCCTTTGTAAATAACAGTATAGTAGACAGTTTTCTTTGTGTTTTTCTTTACCTAATGTGATAATTAATGCTCTTTCTTAGACTAGTTCTTAGTATTCTTACTGCAGCCCCAGAAGTTACAACTGAATTATGACAATTGTGTGCCTTGGAAATAGCCCAACACAAAACAATCATGAGTCAAATTTTACAGTTTGACTATAGAGTCAACCATGTCTTTCCTAACCCTGGTTGTATGTATACATGATATATGTATTGATTTTTAGGTGTCTTATATTGACAGTATTAGCTATTATCTCCAAAGTCCATGCTTATTTCATTACATGACATGACCTCCCATTGAGTGTAGTATTAAAAGATAAGAATGAGTGCTCTATTTTATTTTTCAAATAAAATATAAAAATTTGTTATTTTAAAGCTAGATTATTAATAAAAATTATATTTAAGCAGTGTACCCTATTACATAAAGGAAATAGCTTACAATCATAAGCCAGAAAATATGTTTTCAATTCCACATTTTCTTCAAAATGGTTGAGATATAGCAAATCAATGTTAAATGGTTTTGTAATCAAGCATATTT